AGAGATCGGAGCGTTGGCTCTCTGGCGCGGTGAAACGCGGTAGGAGGTTCTCGTAGGCCTCCTCTGTGTACAGTCGGTAGACCTATAGAGTAAGGCAGGCAAAGGAAATAAAGAGTTCTGCTGCGTGGGAAACAAGGCGAGATGTTCTTAGTTTGTAACCGTTGCTCTATAAATTTTCCAGTCAGAAGAGACTTGTTGCAAAAACGACGTACGCGGCGCTTTAGGTCTTCGCTGGGTTGTGCAGTAGCCCGGTGAAACGGTCGACAGCCCCAAACCTTGGCTTGGCGGCCTTGGCTTCAGAAAGACATAGGGATGCTTGAAGGTGTCCAACGGCGTGCTACTAAGGCTGTCCCTGAAATTGAACAGTTGATATACGAGCAGCGCTTGACTGCCCTAAACCTCTTTCTCCTCCATTATGGACAAGATAGAGGTGATCTTATAACAACGTTTCAATTACTAAGGGGGACTGATCTGGATGTCACGTGGCAGGATATCTTTCAAGCGGCCCAAAGAAGGAACCTCAGAAGACACGATTGCCAGTTGAAGAAAGAACTGAGCTGCAAAAATCAACGTTACGCCTTCTTCCCTCAAAGATTCGTCCGACAGTGAAACCATTTTCCTTACTGGTGAGGTCGCGTTTCCTATCGGGAACGCGACTGGAGGCCGTCTTAACTGCAACTACGTGACTACATGACGTTAAATAAAAACTAAAGGAGATAACGCGTCTTGCACATCTATTGTAAAAACCAAGCATTTTCAGTCAGTCGTGGGCGCCAGGCCCTATCCACTAAACAAATCGTTTGGGTGGATATCTATTTTTTTCTATTTGATCCGGTAGGACTCAGGTAAACGACCGAAACTCCAGTAGTGGTGATGTTAGTCGGATCCAAGTTTAATCTTCGTAGAGTAGTTGACGATCATAATTTGTACAAAGAAGAAATCGCTACACCTTGCTGGGTGCGGTTGACCGTACCGCATTACAAAGACTTATGAATTTAGAGTTGGTATATGTTAGCGTACCCGAATACTATAAATACCCTCTTTGCAGCAAAGACGCCAACAATGCCGTCAATTGTTAGTCCACTGACAATTTAGTAGTTTGCGTAGTTTGATATTTAACGCACCTGATTAGCATTTAGTCTGTTGGCAACATTTAGCAATTAGTTTGCATCCTGAGGTTGGATTCCTTTCCTTACATTTTCTCCCATTACATGAGTTCACTTCAGCAGTACGCGGTAGCATTTCTAGGGAAGTGTCATCTGCCAGGCGATAGTCAACATAGTGGGTAACTTCCAGCTATTTTAATACTAGTGTACCTTCGGATGCTGCAAATTAACATTAGTTGCAACAAACACATGAGTATTCGCAAGATCGAAACCCAGTTTCAAGTGTCAGACTGATCCTCAACAGCAGACTTGCTAAAGACATGCTGGAAGGGTGAGTTGCGCGAAGTCTGCCAGTCTACAGCAAAATGAGCCCCATGTTTGAGGGTCCAGTGGTGGCAATAACATTTACTATAGGACAGTCGAGGCGAAAATTCTCCGTTCAACAGACAAGGGGAACAGTTCGGACATCAGATCCCATATAAATAATGAAGAAAAAATTACCTCTCCCATGCGGACGCGTCCGGCCCTTCCGGCCCGTTGATTGGCCGAGGCTTTGGAGACGGGTACGACAACAAGGGCTTCGAGGCCGATATTGGCATTGTATGAGCGCAGACGGGCATAGCCGCAGTCCACCACGTAG